GGCCCTGACAAGAAGGGGCACCCTACCTGGAGGGAGCACCTTTTCCTGTTTCACACAGAGACCCTCTATGAGCGGGCAGCAGCCCGGGCGGTTCACACATAAGTCACAGAGGGCAAGCACCTGTCCCAGAACTGAGGAACTCAGGCCTGGGAGGCGGGGCGGGCCCAGAACGGCAGACATAGCTGAACGCAGGGCTCCATCCAGCATGCTGGGCTGCCGCCCCCTCATCTCAGCCCCACTCAGGTCACTGGTCCTTGCAGCCTTGTGACAAAGCCACCCCTACCCTCTGCCCTCCCCACCTGAGCTCCCTGATCCAGACCCTTTGGACAGCAGCCCGCTCAGCACCCCTGATGGGCCACTCGGGGACACTCCGAGCCCTGGTTTCCCCATCCAGGCACACCAAGTCCCCTGTCGTACACCTGACACACGTGCTCTTTAGTAACGCCCACATCCGTCAACTTCCCCATCGCCGTGGCCACCATCACAGCTGGTACCCAGGCTGGTCTCAGACACCCGCTGCCCTCGACACAGTAGCTGTGATGTTTGTTGGCAAGCACCGAAAAGCAAGCCCAACTCACTGCCATCGAGTCGATCCCAACTCACAACGACCCTGCAGGCCTGGAGAGCTGCCCCTATGAGTTTCTGAGACCGTAACTCTTGCTAGAGTAAAACAGCCTCCTCGTTCTCCCCATAGAGTGGCTGGTGGTTTCGAACCACTGACCTGACGGTTAGGAGCCCAATGGGTAATCACTCTACTACCAGTTCAACCCAAATCCCCTCTCTGCTTAAAACCCTGTGTTCGCCCACAATCAAGACGACACACTCTCCTGCCAGCAGGGCCCTCCTGGTCAGGCCCCTGGGGGGTCTTCAGGTGTATTTCCTACCATACGCTGCCACTCAACCTTTTCGGCAACCTCCTTTCAGCTCTTCCCGGCCCCGGGGCCCCCACCTGTCTCAGGGCCTTTGCAGGTGCTGCTCCCACTGGACCATAGTTCCCCTCACCCAGTACTTAAAACCATGGTAACATCCAGGTCTCAATCAGCCATCACCCCTTCCTCCCAGCCCCCAAGCTGCCTCAGCTTCTTCCGGCAGACCTCATTCACAGCCTGGCCCGGTGCCGAGAGGCACCTGTGTCCGCAGAGAAGTTCACTGCGCCCTCTGCCATGACGGCTTTCCCCAGGGCTGGCAGCTCAGGAGGAAAAGCTCCACCCTGCCTATTGCCATCCTGACCCAGAGTCTGGCACGACATAGACACGCAGCAAAACGTGGCGCAGGAGTGAATGCCAATCACTATCCCGTGTCCACCCTCTGGCCTCCGACAGGCTTGGGGACTCCGAGAAGTCTGGCCTTGGGTGGGGCCTGCGGAAAGAGGCAGCCTTACCCAAGGGGCACCCAGCCCCAAGCCCATGCCATGGTGCGATCATACAGGGTGGAGGCCCCAAGATGTCTGCACCATCTGCTCCAAGACCTCGGAAGATCCCTTTGCCAACTCCCCCACGGACTTCAGGTTCAGAGCCAGGGTCGGGCCCAGGCCAGGGCGAGGGGAGACGCAAACCCAGCCAGGCCCCTGACCGCCCCAGGCGGGTTCTGTCACGGTGGCCCCGTGCCAGCTCGCCAGCTACATCTATACCAAGATGCAGAAAACCAAACATGAAACATATAGCAACTTTCTTGACATTTCCATGTTTATCCGCTAGCACCAGTACTCTGACTGCACACCATCCTGAAGTCCAATCA